CGCACGCGCCGCCAGCCATGTCCGAAGCGGTGGCTCAAGATGAAGCGCCTTCGGTGCGAGGGCTTTGCACGTTGTCCTCGGTGCACTACCTGCCGTGCCGAAGACGGACTCCCCGCGCGTGCAAATCACGGCGGGGTGTCGAACTGGGGCCGATGGGATCGCCAGGCTGCGACTTCCTCAGCGCCAGGGCCTCCGCCCCCCGCGCCTGTGCCAGCGCGCGTTGAAGCCAAGTCGGACTCGGATTGCTCCGATGTCGACAGCGAGCAAGACCAGCAACATGATGAGGACATCCGAGAGCCTACGTCCTGGACGGGGATATCTTACCACGGAGATGGCAGTGAGAAGTATTTGCTGGGATCGGACCTGATGTCAGAGGACCTTCGCAACGCTTCTGACCAGATCGCTGTCCGCATGGGTTTCGTCAACAAGCCTTTGTTCCGCGCGTTCTTCTACTTCTACTGCCTCCTAGTTGTGGTCCAGCCGGACGTGATGGTTCCACGGGCAACCCGGGAGCGCGTGGAGTCGGGGCTCGAGCGCGCTCCGCTGCTGCATCGATATATCGTGTCTCACGCACCTTTGTTGGGCAAGCAGCCTCGCCTTGACGCGTCGCTCAGGTCTCGCGCGTGTTTTGCGGTCAGCGTCTATCGACGCATCTTCCGCTCGGCGCCTACCACTGATGCCCGCTTGGCTGTGGATGGTGTGTGATTGCATGCTTCGATACACAGGGGCTCCCAAGTTCATCGACGACGCGGTGTCGCGGGATACCAGCGCTGCACATCGGCATCTGTGCGACGGTGTCACGCTGGAGACGAGCGAAACGGTTGCTCAGTTTCTCCGCCCTTCTGTCCTCAGCAAACTGCATTTGATGTCGTCGGTCACCGGGTGGTTCGACGGGCACGACGGCCGGCGGCGCGCATACCATCGCAGCGTCGGGGCGCCGATTGTGTGCGACTTCCGCATCCTCGACCACCTGCTGCATGCTCTGCCGCGATGGATATCTTCCTGCTTGGTGATAGCGGGCCGGCTGAGCAGTTTAATCAGAGTTCTGAGGTAGGCTCGGGCGGGGGAGGGCGACCCTGGCCTAGTGAAACAGGCCTTCGCCGTGACCGAAGCGCTCATGCTGAGCCTGCTGACGCTGGACCTTCTTGGACGTCCTACCGTCTCACCGGCGCTGCCGTTTGCGGTAAGGGTTCATTGTCACCCCTTGAAATTCATGCTCTCCGACTTCTTCCTGCTGGTTGGGAGCGCCGTATGTAGCCACGCGCGCCGGCCGCCCGACGTGGGCGACGACGGCGCGCATGTCCAGGGGCGCGTCCCGCCTGTGAGATGCCGCTGCCCCCATTGCACGCTTCTCTTCCGGGCCCGGTGCGAGTGCATCTTCGTCGGGCCAGCCCCCGGGGCGTTCCCGACTGCAGCGCGGGGCATGCCCGACGGCTTCCCGCTTGCAGTGGAGACAGCGTTGCCGAAGCTCCGGCAGCTCAACGAGCGCATCAACGAATACTTCGGCAGCTCCTTCTGCTTGTATCCCACATGCCTACGGCGAACCGCTCTGGGGACGTTCGGCCCCGCTTCGGGCCGTCCTGGGCTATCTTGGCGCCATCTTGGGCCGTCTTGGGCGCATCTCGGGGCCCGTCATAGCCGCCCCAGAAACCATATTGGCCATTTCGGAGGCTCTCCCGATGCCGCATGGAGCCAGAAGGACCGACGACCTGGGAAGTGCACAGGTCTCTGCGGGTTCGAGACGCCGACGGAGTTTACATGTTGGGCCGCTCCCCAGGGAATGGCCGGCGGGTTGGGCCGAGACCCCGCTGGGGGGCCCTCTAGAAAACCGAAACACTCGGAAACCCAGCGCGCCGTGCATTCCCGCGGCAAGAACACGGGGTTCGGCGGATCGAATGGACTTCGGCCAAACCCGCGCGCGCCACGCGCGCCACATCCTGACGACTTCGTCGCGCCCTCGGGCTTTAAGTTTTAAGTGGTCGCGGCCCGAACTCATGTCGACGATGGTGGAGCCGCTCGGGTTTCCTCCGGGCGCGGACATCCCGGAGATCGCCGCGAACGCGCTCCCGCGTGCCAGGGATGCGCCTCGTTCGGACGCCGTTGCGGCGACAAGTACTTGCCTGATGTTGACGGCCTCGGTGTTTGCAGAAGCGCCCCAGGGAGATATTTCCCCCGCGATTCCAGAGTGGTTCCCCGTTCCTCCTAAAAACTGAAAGGGCCGCAGTGCGGGCGCGAGGGGCCCGCTGGCCCCCAATGGGGCCAGGGGTGCGTGAGCCCGCGGGCGCTTCGGCCAATTCCGGGGAGGATATTACGTGCAGTTCGCAGACGGCGCGGAGAGTCGCATTCGCTTCAAAAGGGTTTCCGGCAAATGGGGCCCGACGTTCTGGGTGCCAAACAGAGACGTCCCTGTGCTCGCCAACGAGAGCATGGACAGCATCGCGGCGAGGGTGCTCGACATGTTCGAGACGCCGGGCATCCAGCTCGGGTTCTCCAAGAAGGGGCTCTTTGGCCTTGCGCGGCTTCCACGCCATCTTCAACGCCAGGTGCGCCCAGGCGCGCAACGCAGACAGGGTCTCAGTGTCCGCGCGTCTCGGCATCGCCCCATGGCACCTGGCGACGCTCTCTGCCAGCCTTGCCATCCTCGAAGTCGGGCGCGGCGCGCGCGAGCCCCCAGAGCTCGCCCTGGCGCCCGCGGCGCCCGGTGCCGGCGGGCCCGACGGCGTCGCTGGAGAAGCCCCGACAGGCGAGGAAGTCCCCGCGGCGCAGGGCGTGCCCGAGGAAGTAGATGAAGGCATCCGGGGGCCGCACTACCCGGACTTCATCGAGGACACGCACGTCGCGCGGGCGCGCAAATTCTTTGCCGTGTTGGACACCACTCGCTCTTGCTGGCACCCCAAGAGAGACGCGGACACGCCCGAGGAGCGCCTCCGCAGAGCCGAAGTGGCCGAAGAGCAAGCTCGCCTGCAGCAGGTTCGCGGCCCGCCTGTTGCCAGCGACGGGGCAGCGGAGGCGGGCTTCCTCGATTACGCGCCAAGTCAGACACAGCCCGGGCGCGAGCCGCGCGCGGAGGCATCGGCCTCCGCAGCCGCAGAGCCTTCGGGCGGCGCGGGCGAGGGTGGATCGCAGGCCGCGCCTGCGGCCTCTGCCCCAGCTGCGCGCGGGGCGTCTGGCGCACCTCAGCGCCTCCTCCCCGCGGACGCGGACGCCCCAGCGATGGGCGTCGGTTTCGGCGTGGGCGGGGCGTCGGCGCAGGCGCCCATTCCCGGCATGACCATGGTGCCAGACAGGCAATTGATGCAGCGCGTCCTCCTCCGTGGCGAGGCTCTGGTAAGCCTCCGCAAGTTGTGCGACGAAGTGAAGATGAAACCCGACGGCTCGAGCACGCAGGTCACGAGGCCGATGGGCCTGAAGTCTGACCATTGCGCCATTGTCGTCAAGGCTGCCCTCGACCTCTACAACGTCGTCGCCGAGTTCGACCCGCAGGGCTGGGTGGCCGATCGGGATCGCAGCGCGGCAGTTCGCTTGCGCCTGCCGAACCCCGAGGACGGCACGGCCATCGCGAAGTACCACAACCTGTTGATGAAATGTTGCAGAGTCAGCTATTCGCAGCTTCTCCAGGTCATCAAGCAGCGCGAGGAGAGGGGCGGGGACTCTCACAGGGCCCCCCGCGGCCGACCCGCGCCCGCAGCGCCGCTCCGGAGCGCCGCGGCCCGCGCCACTTCGGGGGGCGCTTCGGGCGCAGCAGCGGGCGCATGCGCAGGCGCGGCGCCTGGCGGCAATCCGTTCGGTGACCTCGCGGATTAGCTTGCGCGGGCTGCGCGGGCGACGGCGCGGCCCGCGCCGTGAACCCACTAGGGGGCATTGGATGTTGCGGGTAAGGACACCAATGCGCGCGAGGACGCCGCGGACTGCTTTCCGCTCGTGAGCACGCCGGGCCGGCTGCGGGGCCGGGCCCAGTTTTCAGCCCCATTGCCCCATTTCTGTCGGGCCGTCGTTTGCGGCGGATCTCATGCGGGCGTCCACGCGAGTGAAAAGCATGCCCACCATGTCTCGCTTCGCCCGCGTCGGCCTAGCCCAGGGGGCGCAGGCGCATTTGCCCGTGCCTCGGCGCAGTCGCGCCGCAGAACACCTCGTTGACTCGCGCCCGCTGCCCCCCTCCCAAATCGCCTGTAGCCGCGTTGGCCCAGCCACTTTCGGCGGAGATTTCGGCGCGCGCATGCGTCGAACGTCCATGGAAATTTGTTCCTCTCCCGATTCTTGCTTTGAGCGCAGGGCCGCGCTGCACCGCGAGCCCGCTCGCTCCCGCGAGGGCGTTCTCTTGCCGGTGGGCGGCTGGAAGAAGATCGTTCACTTCCCCGAGCGTTGTCACAATATGCGCTGCGGCCGCAAGTACCGCGCTGTCCGATGCAACTACATCCAAATTGGGGCGCCACGGCACTGGCACTGCCACGGTGGCGACCCGTTGTGCTTCTTTCTCCACTCCACCATTGGGTTTTCTTTCGAGTGGCTACGGCAGTTCCATTGCCGCCTTGCCTACCAGCACGTCAGTTTCATGTCGGGGGCCCAAGCGCACCTCCGTGCTGCTTGAATGCGCGGCGCGGCTTCCCTGATCCCGACCCGGCCAGATGACTACATGGCACAAGTGTGGATTCTCTGGCGGGTGCTGGTCCGTGCCCGCGCCCGCGCCGTTCAGTCGGGCGCCGATCCAGTGGGCTCTGTCGGATCGATTGATCTTGCATTGCCTGCGCCTGATACCCCGCGCGGGATCGGCCCATGGTACCACAGCGCAATGGAGGCCCAAAGGGCGAGGCGATTTCGCGCTGGTGAGAAGGGCGCCACATTATTAGTCATGGATGGGAACCAGAAGCTCCGTCGCCGCGTCTGCGGTTATCCGCATTGCGAGCGTGTCCATTCGAAGTCGCTGGGCCATGGAATGCGGCGCTGTTGTTCCGAGACCCCGGCGCAGCAGCCGGGGGAAAGGAAACGCTCTGGCGCGCAAGGCAGCGACGCCGCTGAGGGCGGCGAACCGCCGCCGCCGCATGGCGGCGACGCCGTTGAAGACGGCGAACCGCTGCTCAAGGCGCGCCGGCAAGTTGCCCGCTGCCCCGCTCATGCGTCGGCAACGGGCCCGCCTGGCCCCGCGGGCGAGGTCCTACGATATCCTCTCGCATCGGCAGAAGAGCGCCCTCGCCGACTCGGGCAGGCCAGTCTTCGAGCTGAAGGCCCGCTACAAGTTATTCCGCTTGCGGCAGAAGCACGCAGCTGCGCACCGGCAGCAGAATGCGTGGCTTCCAGCGGACAATCTCAACGCTGCCGCCGTTCACGCTTACCTGTCCGCGGTTGCTGTCAGCGGGAATTTATCCCAACGCAGCGACGAGCAAGCGTTAGGTCAAAGCTCCTGCAAAACCCACAAGGAGGACATAAAGACGAAACGGATGACCGCGCGGAGTGGCGGTTGGCTCTTCGCCATATCTGCGTCTGGATGCATTGTCCACCTGGGCGAATTCATGGGGGCTGAGAGCATCACCCAACGCTACATGTTTGTGGCACGCTGCTGCGACATACTCCCTGGCCTCGAAGTCCTGGTTCACGACGACGCCTGCCACCTGTGCCGGTTCGCGCTCCTCAGAGACGGCCAGAGCGACATGGCAACGAATATCTACAAGCTGCGCTACATCACCGATCCCTTCCACTCCAAGGGGCACGTCTGGAAGTGGTGTTTGGAGAACTGCGCGCCGACTTTGCCCGGCAACGCCGCGCGGCTGGCTGGCGTCAATGCCAATGCGTGTGAGCATCGATTCCGTGACCTCGGGCACTACAGGGAAAACGTCAACGCCATGGGGAAGGAGTTCGCACGTTTCTTCTTGACAGAAATGATGGATTTTCGAAACGTAGATTGGCTCCGACGCGTGAGATCAGCTCCGTAGACATGTTTCACTTGTCCTTGATTTTTTCCAGAGATGCACTCATGCGCCGATACCTGGTAGCATTCGGCCGCATTCTATATGCACGCTCCCGAGGGGGACGGCCGGGGCCCTCAAGGGCAAATGCTCCATGCTTCCCGCATCCTCACCAGCCCACCCAGAAACGAAGCTTATCCAGAAGAGGCCCACCGGATGCCCCCAAGACGCCCCCACTGCACTCTGGCTGCGTCTCTTTTGCTTGCTTTCGCGCGGGCTCTTGCGCGGGCGCTGTCCGTTCGGATCGGCCTGATCACGCGCGAGTTTGCTCTGTCCTGTCCGCCCTTGTCATCATTACCGGCCCGTGTCGGGCGAAAGTGACAGCTCTTGCTTGCACTGCGCAGCATGCGGCTGCGACCTTTTAGAATGCCACGTCATGATGTTGTCTGCCCTCTTTCTTCCTTCCCTCTCCTCCTCTTCCTCTTCCTCCTCCGCTTTCCCTCCTCCTCCTGTCGCTTTGTTTGAAATCCTATGCGAACACCCTTCGGGGGATAAGGAGGTTGGGGTGTGGGAAGGGGGCCAATTGGAGCTCAAGCGTAGCATGGCACCTCATAGCATAGCATCGCGTAGCATCGCATAAAATAGCATCGCATAGCATAGCGTTGCTTGGCATAGCGCAGCATAGCAGTGCACAGCAGCATAAACACCAGGGGATACCCCCCTGGACACCCGCGGGACAGTCGCGGGCCACCGCGGGACACCGCGAGACACCACGGGAAACCCACGGGACACGCGCGGGACACCTGCGGGACATCGCCGGCCAACCGTGGGGGGGCAACATGCAGCCCAGCATTCCTCTCGCCAGTCCAAGCGGCCTCGACTCGCCCGCACGCACGACACGAACACGACACCGATACCGATTTCCTGGTGGGGGGCTTTCCGTTCCACGCGATATCTCCCCAACCTCCAATCATGCCGCATCGTTTCAGGGTTCTTTTCAAAGACGTGTGCGAGTTTGCACCCACCTTTTACCACTCCTTCTCACGCTGCGGCGCTGCCTTGCGGTGCTGGTGTGCAGTCATCCGAGTTAGGGTCACTCACTTTTGCTGTCGAGGAAAAACCATTGACAGAAGGGCCCTCCCCCTGCCCTCATTCCCTCCCCAAGCCCACCCCCGGGAGCGCGTCGCTGGCGACGACACCGTCGTCGTCGTCACCGTCGTCGCCTTCGTGGTCTCCGTTGTCTTTGTCGTCGTCGTCGTCGTCGTCGTCGTCGTCGTCGTCGTTGTCGTCGTCGTCTTCGTCGTCGTCGTCGTGGTCGTCTCGTCGTCGTGGTCGGAGTCGTTGTCCAACCATTCTCGTCGCCACGGTTGGGCGTGGCTCGGCAGGTTGGCCAGCATTAACATTACGAGGTTGTCCTGCGGAGCGTTTCTCGGCGGAGTCGCACGCGTTCTAAAGAGGAGAAGCCCCAGGCAAGGAGTGCACTGAATCGGAGGAGGAGGAGGAGGAGGAGGAGGACGAGGAGGGGGAGGAGGAGGAGGAGGAGGAGGAGGAAGTGAAACAGAAGAACGAGGAGCAGGAGGAGGACGACGACGATGACAAATGGGAGTACCAGGGGGCGGAGGAAGAGGAGGAGGAGGAGGAGGCGGAAGAGGAGGAGAAGGAGGAGGAGGAGAAGGTGAAACAGAAGAACGAGGAGCAGGAGGAGGACGACGACGATGACAAATGGGAGTACGAGGATGAGGAGGAGGAGGAGGAGGAGGAAGAGGAGGAGGAGGAGGAGGAGGAGGAGGAGGAGGAGGACGAAGAGGACGTGGAGGACGAGGAGGACGAGGGGGACGAGGAGGACGAGGAGGACGAATGATGATGACGACGACGCTGATGAGGATGATGCTGATGGTGACGATTGTGATGATCATGATGATGAGGTTGATGATGGTGATGATGATCTTTCGGAGGGCGACGACGAGGATGGCGGTGAGGATGATGCTGATGATGATGCTGATGATGATGATTATGATGATTATGATGATGGTGATGATGGTGATGATGATGATGATGATGATGATGATGATGATGATGATGATGATGATGATGCTGATGCTGCTGCTGCTGCTGATGATGATGATGATGATGATGATGAGGAGGAGGAGGAGGATGATGATGATGATGATGATGATGATGATGATGATGATGATTCTGATGATTCTGATTATGACTATGACTATGATGCTGATGCTGATGACGGGACTCCCCGGATTCCCCGGACTCTCCAGACAACCAGGACTCCCCCGGACTCCCCTCGGACCCTTGGACCCCCCGACTTCCCAAACTCCTTGGATTCCCCGGACTCCCCGGACTCCCCGGACTTCCTGGACTCCCCGGGCTCTCCTCACTTCCCAACCTCCCCGGACTCCCCGGACTCTCCGGACTCCCCGGACTCCGCCGGACTCTCCGGACTCCGCGGACTCTCCGGGCTCCCCCGGACTCCCCGGACTCCCCGGACTCCCCCGATCGACTCCCCGGACTCCCCGGACTCCCCCGACTCCCTGGACTCCCTGGACTCCCCGGACTCCTCGGACTCCCCGGACTCCCCGGACTCCCCGGACTCCCCGGGCTCCCCCGGACTCCCCGGACTCCCCGGACTCCCCGGACTCCCCGAACTCCCCGGACTCCCCGGACTCCCCAGACTCCCCGGACTCGACCCAAATGCGCACCGCTCTCCGTTTTACCCTCCCGACGTCCCGTTTTACCCTCCCTACGTCCCGTGTTACCCTCCCTGCGTCCCGTTTTACCCTTCCTTGCCCTCCCTTTTACCCTCCCGACGTCCCGGTTGACCCTCCCGACGTTCCGTTTTGACCTCCCGTCGTCCCGTTTTACCCTCCGGTACTCATGGCAAAGCGGGACGCAAGGAGGGTAAAAAGGTATGTACGAAGGGTAAAACAACGGGCCGTAAGGAGGGCAAAGCGGGACGTAGGGACGGAGGGTAAAACGGGACATAAGGAAAGTACAACGGAACGTAGGGAGGGTAAAACGGAACGCAGGGAGGCCAAAACGAAACGTAAGGTGGATAAAACGGGACGGAGAGAAGGTAAACCGGGACGCAGGGAGGGTAAAACGCAGAAGGAGGTAATGCGGGACGGAGGGAGGGTAAAAACGGGAAGGAGGCTAACACGAGGGAGCTACGGTAAAACTAGACGCCAGACAGGGAAAAACGAATGGGGAAATGGTAAGGCGAAACATAGCGAGATGATACGAAACGGAGGGAAAGTAACCCGACAGGGAACGAAGGTAAAATTACAAAGGGAGGGAACGTGAAACGAAGAGGGGAAGGGCGACGCGGAAGACCATACCGACCAACAGAACAAAACACACGCTGGGCGCACGTTCAAAAGCAGCACGCTGGAAATAACTACCCCGAGTCGCAGCAAAACAGACCGCAGCGCCAGCTGCAGCGAAGCGCCCAACACACCACAAGAGCACGAGACACGACGCGCCGCAGGCGCCGACGCAGAACGTGCGACGGAAAGCATCGCTCCGACCTCCGATGGGCGTCGTTCTCCAGATTCGTTCAAGCCAGAAACAGAGCACGCTCAGAGCAAAAAGACAACATAGCAGAACAAAACACTCCAAACACACAACCTAGCTGATGCTGATGCTGATGCTGATGCTGATGGTGCTGATGATGAGGATGATGCTGCTGAGGAGGAGGAGGAGGAGGAGGAGGAGGAGGAGGAGGAGGAGGAGGTCGCGCCCCGCCTGGGCGTGCACAGCATCAGCATCAGGTCGGACCTCCGCAGGAAGCCGCCGATCGAGAGCACCCCGCGCTTCTTCTGCTCGGGGTCCGACTGGCTGATGCACATCTTGTCGACGATCGGGTCGGGCGAAAGGGGGATAGCAAAATGGGGGGGTTTGAGAAATCAGCTCACGTAGCTGATTTTCCCGGCGCCTCCCGTCGCCGGAGGCTGCTATGTATCGAGGATGGGCCCCGTCGGTGGAGGCCGAAACAGCTGCATGCAGCAAATTTCGTAACCCCCCCTTTCCCAATCCCCCCCTTTCGCCCGGCCCGAGACGAAGACGTAGATCGGCGACAGGACACGCTCGCGGAAGGCCTGCCAGTATAGGAGCACGAACAAGAAGGTGCCAATGCCAGCAGGGAAGCACCAGACCCCGAAGGCCTCCTCGTACTTCACGCCGGCCGTGATGCGCACCTGCGGCGGCTGCCGCTGCGCCAAGACGCCCACCACCTGCAGAATAAATGCCACCACGCTCATGGCGAAGCTGGCGCAAAGCGCTGGGGCGCCGTTGAAGTACACGGCGAGGGTCAGCAGCTTCGTCCAACGGCCAGTGCCCCAGTCGTGGGAAACGAAGTAGTCGAGGCTGTGTCGCATCATCGTGCGCGCATAGTCTCTCGTGTTCCCTGCGGAGCTATCCCAAATCTGGCCGAGGCCGCCCAGGCAGCACTGAAGCGTCGCCCCGCGGACCTCCACCAGCATCTCATCTGTCGCCTTGCGCAGGATCGAGCTGGATCCTCTTCGGGCTTTTTCTGGGCTCGCCGGCGAGCCGAACACCGTAGGCTCCACAGCCGAAGGCGAAGCCCCAGGGGTCGGCGAAACGGGAGGGGGATCGACGTGGCCAGCCTGCTCCACAGGTGGGATCTGGGCCGCGACAGACATGCTCACACATGGGGTCTGGTCTGGAAGTGCGCTCGTGGAAGCGCGGACCGGACCTTGAACCAAAATATGGTAATGGAAGGGCGCCGCGACGGCCAGCGAGGGCCCAACAGCAGCCCACGATGGCCCCGAGACGGCCCGAGGGCCCCCAATTACGCCTCTGAAAGGCTCCAAGAGGCCGCCCAAGAGAGAAACACCAAACGGGCATAAGCCTACTATCTCGGAAGTCCGCGCGCACTTCTTGGATCGGCGCTGGACCCCCTCCCTGGCGCGCGGAGAACGCCAGGGGCGGCGCTGGAGACGCCGCCACGTTTTTGTCATCCCGTGCGCAGTGACCGCAAGGACATCGGCTGGCAACGAACCGCTAACCCGCTGGCCTGTGTGGCCGCAGGAGCCTCGGGGACGGATGCACGGCGTGAGATCGACCAGCTAGCGAATATCACAGCATCTTCACCGCACCTGGGATGCATAGCCTTGAGGTGACGCCTCCGCCTGTGCCACGCTGAAGCGGTCATCTCCCATCCAGGGGAAGTCCACGCGGAGCTCCGCGACGTCCTCCTCCTCCTCCTCCTCCTCCTCCTCCTCCTCCTCCTCCTCCTCCTCCTCCTCCTCCTCCTCCTCCTCCCCGTGCCCCTCCTCCTCCTCGTCCTCGTCCTCCTCCTCCTCCT